CAGGGCCCCGGAACCCACACGGGGGTCAGCGATATGTTACTTGCGAACCTGTTTCTGTGACTGTGCCTCACCACCGACCGTATTCCCGCGTGGCGCGGATGGGGGCTAAACTAGATGGCTTGGACTCACGAGCAGCAGCTACAGGATCTCCTGCAACTTTCTGCAATTAATTTGCTCGTGAGTCCCAGGTACCTAGTTTAGCCCCACGTTTAGCCGATACTGTCGGCGGTGGCGCTAGTCACCGGAAAACCGCAAATTAAGTTGCCGGAATTTTTTTTTTTGGCACGTCTAAATCTGAGGCTAATCAGCGACCTTGCAGAACATCCTTAACTCTTTGAGTCCCAGGCAGTTTAGCATCAGAGGCCCAAGAGGTAGTAATGTAATGCAATTTTTGAATTTCACAAACGTAAGACATTAAAACAGCCAAACTAATTAAATTGCAGCACAACAAACATAGATTATACATCAAAGTGACCAGGGATTGTTGAGGAATAATTTTAGCACAGAGCTACAACAAGTAATTGCCTTAGTAATTACAAATTAGTAAATAAACAGACATTATATTTACAAAAATTAGTAAAATAAAGTTAAAAAAAAATTTCACTTTCCACCATGGCACTCCAGAAAAAACTGGTTAAAATGTATGCAAAATTAATCACAAATGAATATGAACCACTTAGTAATGTATAAGTAAAATATAAACTCTGTACTCCCAAAACAATAATTATCTTCATGCAAAACAAAGTTTATTATATAACACTCAATTTGCCTGTAATTTTGTAGCTATGTTCCTAAATAATAAGGGAAATAGCACTAGAACTAACTGATACTAAGAAAATTATCTTTTCACTAATGTTTATTCTATTTGTGCCAGCTGACTTTGCTATTGTTGTACCCTTCGCATGAGGTAACACATTAGACATATCCCTCATCAAAATTTGACCCTGTAAATGACTGAAACACGCCTAATTCGCAACGTTATCTATCTAACTTCGGATAAATAAAAAAAAACACATAACTTTATTTAAATTTTAAGCTTCAAAGGCCGAAAATCATGTTGGCATGCTCATAGAATTGTGTTTGGCGGCCATATTTTTTTAAAACAAACACTTAGTAACTTGTGCATCTCGCAAATATACTATATTTGCGGCTTTCAACCTATGTTTCTAAATGAGCACGCCTGATATCAGACACAAAGAACTTGGAAGGAAGTTGAAATTGAGTGGTCTGCGTTTTACAACCAGTCAGTGGTAGGTTAAAAAGCTTCACTTGTCACGTGTCGATTGGGCCGCTAGGTTGAAAAAAAATTTAAAAAAAAAAAGTAAAATGAAGGGTTGAAATAACAAAATGTTTGCATTTTATGGCAATAACTATTTTGTTTCTGAACAAATCCTTTAGCTACTATATTTCATTGCAATCAGGGCGGTGAGGCCTAACTGTAAACGCATATCTCAAATACATAATATAATGCAAATACATAATATGATGCAATTCAGGCCTAATTAACATATCAAAATGGCCACCAGCTCACTAGTTTTAAGAAAGCACTTAATGAGTTAATAATTATAAGTGGTTTAAAGTTTTTAAAAAAACTATCCACTTAATTGCACTTGGTTTTACCCCACCCACACGTGCGCACGGCTCGTTCTGTCTCTACACAATGGCTAGCCACCTCTTGAAAACGGTGTACAGCCTCCATAGCTCTAGCAATGTTTCCTAGAGAGCCTACAACGTTCTGACCATGAGGCAAATGGCTTAACACCTTAGCTTTTATTGTAAAGTATAACTTGATTGTAAATATTTTAGTTGCCACTGTGTAAAGTATGTTAGACCCCGTGGATGCTATCTGACTTATAGGAATCAGAATGTATGCACCATATTGATGTGATAGTATGTAAAATTGGATAATACATTGCCACGGTGCACACCTATAGATTAGCTGCTCTCTGTGGCTGAGTATATATTATTTGTGTGTTGTTCATTTATTACTGTTGTAGATTTAAAAAGATAACTCATATAAGAGTAGTTATTTAGTGTGCATTTTAACCTAATTACTAATAATGTTGCTATAGTATGGCCTGATTGGTGAAATTGGTGAACGAAGACTAGAGGTGCTCAGGTAAAAATTATCTCAGATAATTCTTCTTCTTCTTGTCTCTACTCCTGGAATGCCTTGTGGCCTCAGGGGAGGAAGAGATCTCTAGAATGGGCCGGTTTGTGAGATTTCTTCATTTTCTACGAGCACTAAATAAGACCATGTCGATTTGCCAGACCAGTCAAAGTGTTTTCAAACTTCCTAGAGGGTCACACTTGAACTAGACTATCACATTCAGACTAGTTTGACACAACGTCCACTCTAGGATGTCCGAAACTGACCCCGGTTAGATGCTGGTCGAAAAATAAACACCCCCTTGCCTCGCCATCTTAACCAGAAGATAATTCTATCAGCTTGAAATAGTGACAGATGCAGGAAAAAATGCTACAGTGATTGTGGATTTTAAGAAAATAACTCATATAACATTACTAATTTACCAAGCATTTTATGTTGAATTTGAAGAATTTCATACAATCAACTTTATAAATCCTGTCACCAAATGACTACTTAGAATAATGAGAAGAACAATAAGACAAATAAGAATAGGAATAAGTGAAGTGCAGTATGGATTTATGGAAGGTAAAGGGACAGATAATGCAATATACATATTACGAACACTGTTAGAAACATCAACGGACATACAAAAGGATTTATATTTGTGCTTGATAGATTATACCAAAGCATTTGACAAAGTTATACTAGGAGAAAATGTTGAAAGACATCAATGTGGATATGAAAGATCTCAGAATAATTAAAAACATTTTCTGGAATCAAGTAGCAGCAATTAAAGTGGGAAACAGATTGGGTATTTTTGACCAGATAAAGCAAGGAGTAAGACAGGGATGTGTCTTATCCCCAGATTTTTTCTCTCTATATAGTGAAGTAATTTTGAGGGAAATTAAAGCATAAACAGGAATACAAGTGGGAGGATACAATATAAACAATTTGCAATATGCAGACGTTACAGTTTGGATAGCTGATAACGCAACTGATTTATAACAACTGCTGGATATTGTGGGGATGGAGAGTGCTAAGAAAGGGCTTTCATTGAATATTAAGAAAACGGAAGTAATGGTTATATCAAAGAAGATTGTTATATCTCAGTTGAAGAAAAAAGACTAAACCTAGTCAATAAATTCAAATATCTGGGAACAATCAAATCATTAGATGGAAAATGTGTGACAGAGATTAAAAGCAGAATAGGTCAAGCGAAAGCTGCATTTCAGAAAATGAAAAATATCTTATGCAATAAGTCGCTCTCATTTAATGTCAGAAAGAGAGAGCTAAAATGTTACATAGGACCTGTTCTGCTGCACGGCAGTGAATCTTGGAATGTCAGTGAATAAATTAAGAAGAATTTGGAAGCAACAAAGATGTGGTTTCTGAGACGAATGTTACGAGAACCTTGGACGGGCAGAGTAACTAATAATGATTGTTTGAAAGAAGCTAGTAAAAGTAGATCTCTATTTAAAACAACAATAAGGAGACAAACACTTTGGCTACTTAATGAGAAGGGAGGCATTGAAAACAATTGTGACAACTGGAAAGATCAGTGGAAAGAGGGGTAGAGGCAGACCAAGAAAGATGATGCTGGAGGATGAGCTGAAAGGATAGCATGGAGGGATATCATCAAGAGAGCTGTTCCAGGCAACCAGGGATCGTGATCTGTGGAGATGCATAAGCACCTATGCCAACTGGCAGAGCACATGATGACGATGATTTTATGTTAATTGCTAAAGAGTCTCAGAAAATCCATAATTTACAGTTTACTGATTCATTGCCTTTTCAGTTCACTACCAGGATAGTTTTGCCTGTGACTTCTTTGATATTGGAGGTTTTGCACTTTTTATGAAACAAATACAGTAGTGTAGTACATAAGTACTGAGTACAAGGCACTGATCACTGTTATTTATATCTGCTAGGACAGGGCGATTCAACCAGTTCCCATAGGCTGAATCTAACCCTCAGTGGCGAAGCAGGTGGCTTGTGGATCATTGCCTATTGTGTTGTATAAATGATCTCTCATGCTGGGGCTCTAGCCTGTGATGATCCCCATTGTCAAAACTGCAGCCCCTGAGTAAACTTAGTCATAAAGTCCTGCTTTAAGTTCTTAAGTGCCAATATGTCAGCATTTTTACAATGACCCATTTTTATCAAAGCAAGGTTAAAAGCTGCTGTTCTGTGTGCACATGCAGAGTGTTTAGGAGGGAGGATGTAAATTTGTATGCTAAAAAAATAACATTTAGGGGTTTTTCTTGTAAACCCAGATGAGTGTATTATCAGTGTACTATGGCAACAGTTATCTATGGGTATACCTGGTGTGCTGTGATGTCAATTCTTAAATCAGTAATAAGTAAACCAGTAGCTTTTTAAAAACCAGGTTGAGGCAACAATTTTCCTGTAAGCCTCTGTGGTAGAGGTCATGGGGTCACTGCATGGAAGACCTGAAACACATGTGTGTTTCAAAGAGTGTTTCAAACACAGAGACTGTGTTCCATGTAATGCTTTACTGTGTTCATGTTTATTTATTACTGCCTGTGTAAATCTTTATATATTTCTAGAAAATATTGATTATAGTACATTAAAAAAAAACAATTTAATAATAAAATACTATTTGTTTTTAAACAGTTTTCAGGGATTGCCCCATATTTTTTTTAGCACTTGCAGGGTGCAAGTGTGAAACTTTAGCATTTGCTGAAAGATTCCTAGCAGGCAAAGTTTTTTCTATTTATGACTCAGAAAATGATTTGTAAACATTGATAAGCTTGGTAAACAGTGAAACTTCAAAACTTTTGACTGTTGAAGACTGATTCAATCATCTCAAAGCTTTGTTTGTTTTTAAAGGTCAGAATAAGAGGTGTATGCTGAAACTAACTGGGGAGACTGCAGGGAATAGAATACAAGAATGAGTACGAATTCTGACTGTAGACCGGATAAACACCCATTGGTTAGTATTGCCCTCTTACACTTCATAAATAGTACGAGGTTTGTTGCATTTGTCTGTGGGGTGATCTGTTAATAAGAATGAAAGAAGCATTTGTCTGTGGGGGGATCTGTTAGTAAGAATGAAAGAAGCATTTGTCTGTGGGGTGTTCTGTTAGTAAAAATAAAAGAAGCATTTGTCTGTGGGGTGATCTGTTAGTAAAAATAAAAGAAGCATTTGTCTGTGGGTTACTGCACCCCATTGTTCCCTGTGTGGGTTACTGTACCCCATTGTTCCCTGTGTGGGTTACTGCACCCCATTGTTCCCTGTGTGGGTTACTGTGCCCCATTGTTCCCTGTGTGGGTTACTGTGCCCCATTGTTCCCTGTTACTGCCCCATTGTTCCCTGTGTGGGTTACTGTGCCCCATTGTTCCCTGTGTGGGTTACTGTGCTCCATTGTTCCCTGTGTGGGTTACTGTGCTCCATTGTTCCCTGTGTGGGTTACTGTGCCCCATTGTTCCCTGTGTGGGTTACTGTGCTCCATTGTTCCCTGTGTGGGTTACTGTGCCCCATTGTTCCCTGTGTGGGTTACTGTGCCCCATTGTTCCCTGTGTGGGTTACTGCACCCCATTGTTCCCTGTGTGGGTTACTGTGCTCCATTGTTCCCTGTGTGGGTTACTGTGCCCCATTGTTCCCTGTGTGGGTTACTGCACCCCATTGTTCCCTGTGTGGGTTACTGTGCTCCATTGTTCCCTGTGTGGGTTACTGTGCTCCATTGTTCTCTGTGTGGGTTACTGTGCTCCATTGTTCCCTGTGTGGGTTACTGCACCCCATTGTTCCCTGTGTGGGTTACTGCACCCCATTGTTCCCTGTGTGGGTTACTGCACCCCATTGTTCCCTGTGTGGGTTACTGCACCCCATTGTTCCCTGTGTGGGTTACTGCACCCCATTGTTCCCTGTGTGGGTTACTGCACCCCATTGTTCCCTGTGTGGGTTACTGTGCTCCATTGTTCCCTGTGTGGGTTACTGTGCTCCATTGTTCCCTGTGTGGGTTACTGTGCCCCATTGTTCCCTGTGTGGGTTACTGCACCCCATTGTTCCCTGTGTGGGTTACTGCACCCCATTGTTCCCTGTGTGGGTTACTGTGCTCCATTGTTCCCTGTGTGGGTTACTGTGCCCCATTGTTCCCTGTGTGGGTTACTGTGCTCCATTGTTCCCTGTGTGGGTTACTGTGCTCCATTGTTCCCTGTGTGGGTTACTGCACCCCATTGTTCCCTGTGTGGGTTACTGCACCCCATTGTTCCCTGTGTGGGTTACTGTGCCCCATTGTTCCCTGTGTGGGTCACTGCACCCCATTGTTCCCTGTGTGGGTTACTGCACCCCATTGTTCCCTGTGTGGGTTACTGTGCCCCATTGTTCCCTGTGTGGGTCACTGCACCCCATTGTTCCCTGTGTGGGTCACTGCACCCCATTGTTCCCTGTGTGGGTTACTGCACCCCATTGTTCCCTGTGTGGGTTACTGCACCCCATTGTTCCCTGTGTGGGTTACTGTGCTCCATTATTCCCTGTGTGGGTACAGTACCCCATTGTTCCCTGTGTGGGCTACTAGGCCCCATTGTTCCCTGTGTGGGTTACTGCACCCCATTGTTCCCTGTGTGGGTTACTGCACCCCATTGTTCCCTGTGTGGGTCACTGCACCCCATTGTTCCCTGTGTGGGTCACTGTGCCCCATTGTTCCCTGTGTGGGTTACTGTGCCCCATTGTTCCCTGTGTGGGTTACTGCACCCCATTGTTCCCTGTGTGGGTTACTGCACCCCATTGTTCCCTGTGTGGGTTACTGTGCCCCATTGTTCTATGTGTGGGTTACTGTGCCCCATTGTTCCCTGTGTGGGTTACTGTGCTCCATTGTTGGAGGCAACAACACCTACTGCCCCTATGTCTTAAAAGTCTGAGAAGGGAGGAACCAACAGTCTGCATACAAATTACCCACATCTGTAAAATGGATGTTCACATAAAACTCAAGTTCTGGAACAAGACTAAAGTCCAGAAGTGGACAAACAACTGGAACATTGATTCCCAAACTGTGCGCCTCGGGGAGCCGCGACATCTTCACAGGGGAGCCGCGACCTCTTCACAGGGGAGCTGCGACGCCCCGGGGAGCCGCGACATCTTCACAGGAGCGCCGCAAAATATTGAAGATAGACAAATAAAAAAAAAATCTCTTTCATACAAATAGTCAAACTTTGACTGAGGTCAGGTCGCCGTGGACAAATTGTCATTGAAAAAAAGGCGCAGTGACTAAGAAAAGTTTGGGAAACACTGGCCTAGAACTTTCTGCCGTGTTTACAGCTGGTGAATGATAAGAAGAAGAGGAAAGAGATTGTGAAAGTTCGTTATTGCTTCTCAATCCCACTCTCTGCTATTTGCTTTTTTGATGGGTCAACAAATGTGTCTTCACACAAAAAGTTTGCAATAAGGCTTTATCTCTCTTAGTTGTACTCCACATTTCATAGCTACATATAGAACAATTGCTCTAATGAATATTTGTTATATTGTGATGAAGATGTTAACCGTATAAAGCACTTGAATTTAGCCAATGGGAAGGCACAGTATTCATTATTTCCAGATTGTATTCTAGACTGAGGCAGACACTGTTCACAAATAGAAACAAATCTTGGTGAAAAATGAAATGCTAGCAGGAGACAAGCTCTTGTGTAAAGGTCTTAAAGGGTGTAATTGTGAAGTGAATGCGGCTGGTTATAGCCTACTTTTCTGTTTTTCTGATTTGATTTGATTTGATTCAAAAACCGACATCACAGCACTCGGGGCATTCCCATAAGCGCTCCGTCCCCATCTTCAAGATATGACTTCGCCTGCAACACCTTGTGCCTACCTGCAACAGTCGGCAAACTAAGGCTATATCGCATACACACCACTGGGGTGTCTCTGGTACAACCCAGAATGACCCGCATTGCAGCATTCTGTATACGCTCTAGTTTGTCCATCTGACTTTTTGAGACAGTAAGCAGTCCCAGGCCATAATCAAACACTATATCAGGTGCTGATATAGTATGAAAAGCATTTTCTGCTCTATGTCTAATGCAGCCATAGTCTTAAGTTCACTAAGTCCTTTTTGGCATCTCGTCACAACACTCTCCACATGGTCCTTAAAGGACAGGCTTCTGTCAGATGTGATTCCCAGATACTACAGGTTGCTCTTTCTGTTTGTCTTCAGCAGTCTAGTCATGCTCAGTCTAGAATGGGCCATAAACTGGCATGCCAGCTTAAGATCTCTTAGGCTTTCCTGAAGCTTAGTTATCAGGTCTACGGAGTGTGGCCAGATGTTGCTTTGCAGCTCTTCCAAGAGAGGACAGTCTTGTAAGACATTTTCTGGAGTCTGTTCAGCATGAAGACATTGGCAGAGAGTTGTTTGGCTCATACCTAATTTATTGGATTGTTTACTGAGTCTGCAGTGTCCAGTGTCTAAGTGAAACATGGTGACTTTTGTCTTCTGTTCAGGTGATTGAGGAAATATTTTGTATAGTTATAACCAGCGTTTTTTTCTCCCCAGTCTGTTTCTGATTTTCTCTTTATGAGGGTTCTGACTCCTATAAAAGATAGTAGCTGGTAGATTTGTAGTTTGCTGCTGCCTTCCTTGGCCATCATGTCATTGTTTTAATTGCCTTTGATGCCACAGTGAGATGAAATCCAGCACAGGTGAGTTTCGGTCCCCCTCCCTTCTTCACACCCTTCTCCACCCCCCCACCCCCCCACCCAGCAAGTTCCTTTGTTAGGCTCAGTAGTGTGCTGTTTGTAGTTTTGTCCTTTGTGGCTGATGGTAAATCTGTGAGAAAAACCATCTTGCCTGCAGGGGTTTGCAGCTTGTTCATGTACTGTCCTGCCATTAGTGGGGCTTAGAGATCTGCCTTGTAGTTGGAGCAGTTTCGTCTAATGGGGGCTTCCAGGGTCACATACTGTCCTGCCATCAGTAGAGCTGAGAGGTCTGCCTTGTAGTTGAAGCAGTTTCATCTAGTCGGGGCTTCCAGGGTCACATACTGTCCTGCCATCAGTAAGGCTGAGAGGTCTGCCTTGTAGTTAGAGCAGTTTCGTCTAATGGGGGCTTCCAGGGTCACATACTGTCCTGCCATCAGTAAGGCTGAGAGGTCTGCCTTGTAGTTAAAGCAGTTTCATCTAGTCGGGGCTTCCAGGGTCACATACTGTCCTGCCATCAGTAGAGCTGAGAGGTCTGCCTTGTAGTTGGAGCAGTTTCGTCTAATGGGGGCTTCCAGGGTCACATACTGTCCTGCCATCAGTAAGGCTGAGAGGTCTGCCTTGTAGTTGAAGCAGTTTCATCTAGTGGGAGCTTCCGGGGTCACATACTGTCCTGCCATCAGTAAGGCTGAGAGGTCTGCCTTGTAGTTGAAGCAGTTTCATCTAGTGGGGGCTTCCAGGGTCACATACTGTCCTGCCATCAGTAAGGCTGAGAGGTCTGCCTTGTAGTTGAAGCAGTTTCATCTAGTGGGGGCTTCCAGGGTCACATACTGTCCTGCCATCAGTAAGGCTGAGAGGTCTGCCTTGTAGTTGGAGCAGTTTCGTCTAGAGGGAGCTTCCAGGGTCACATACTGTCCTGCCATCAGTAGAGCTAAGAGCAATGCCTTGTAGTTGGAGCAGTTTCGTCTAATGGGGGCTTCCAGGGTCACATACTGTCCTGCCATCAGTAGAGCTGAGAGGTCTGCCTTGTAGTTGGAGCAGTTTCATCTAGTGGGAGCTTCCGGGGTCACATACTGTCCTGCCATCAGTAAGGCTGAGAGGTCTGCCTTGTAGTTGAAGCAGTTTCATCTAGTGGGGGCTTCCAGGGTCACATACTGTCCTGCCATCAGTAAGGCTGAGAGGTCTGCCTTGTAGTTGAAGCAGTTTCATCTAGTGGGGGCTTCCAGGGTCACATACTGTCCTGCCATCAGTAAGGCTGAGAGGTCTGCCTTGTAGTTGGAGCAGTTTCGTCTAGAGGGAGCTTCCAGGGTCACATACTGTCCTGCCATCAGTAGAGCTAAGAGCAATGCCTTGTAGTTGGAGCAGTTTCGTCTAATGGGGGCTTCCAGGGTCACATACTGTCCTGCCATCAGTAGAGCTGAGAGGTCTGCCTTGTAGTTGGAGCAGTTTCGTCTAGTGGGGGGCTTCCAGGGTCACATACTGTCCTGCCATCAGTAGAGCTGAGAGCAATGCCTTGTAGTTGGAGCTGTGTTGTCTAGTGGGGGTTTCCAGGGTCATATACTGTCCTGCCATCAGTAAGGCCCAGAGGTTCCCCCAGATGTCCAGCCTTTAGAAATGGAGCTGGATATCAACTGTGAGATGCCATCCAAAGAGGAAATTGGGGGGGGGGGGGGGGGGGGGGGGCTGTAGATCTTCTTGGGGAAGGGGGGGGGGGGCGTCAGGCCCAGATGGTATCCCAGCTGAAGCCATCAGGACCAACATAAACACAACAGAATTGCTACATAGATTATTCAGTGGAGTCTGGGAGACCGAGGAGATGCCGGCGGACTGGAGAGGGGGATGTCTTGTGAAACTGCCCAAAAAAGGTGATCTACAGGAGTGTGAAAACTGTGGAGGAATTATGTTGCTGTCGGTTCCTGGAAAAATATTGGGTGGAGTTGTTTTGGAAGGATTTAAGGATGCTGTTGATGAAATGCTAGGAGATGAGCAGGCAGGTTTTCGGTTGCACAGATCCTGTGCTGATCGGATGGCCACATTATGATAGAGCAAAGCATTGAACTGAACTCGCCACTTTGCATTGGATTTGTGGACTATGGGGAGGCATTTGGCGGCATTGATAGGAGTCTCTCTGGAGGTTGATGGGGCACTATGGAATCCCACGGAGAATTATCGGCTTGGTGAGGGCAACATATAGAGACATGAAATGTCGAGTTCTTCATGGGGGAAGGCTAGCGGATGCATTTGAAGTGGAAACGGGTGTGCGACAGGGATGTCTTTTGTCGCCTCTCTTATTTTTACTGGCTATAGACTGGACTATGAAAGCAGTAGCTGCTAACACTGAGAGTGGAGTTTGGTGGACCCCTACAGAACAGCTTGGTGATCTGGACTTCGCTGATGATGTTGCCCTTCTGTCCCATTCACGGAATCAGATGCAAGACGAATTGAATATACTTAATGCGAGATCGCGGCGGCTTGGTCTGGGGGTCCATGGGGGAAAGACAGAGATGATGAGAATGAGGCAAAATTGGTGTGGTTTCTCTTAGTGGCACCCCACTCCAGGACGTGGAGTCATACACCTATTTAGGCAGTAATGTAGATAAAGATGGAGGAACTGATAGAGATATTAAAATAAGAATACAAAAGGCAAGAGGGGCTTTCATAGCACTAGGGAATTTGTGGAGGTCAAAAGAAATTAAAAGAAATACTAAACTAAAAATTTTTAATTCTAATGTCAAATCAGTACTATTGTATGGGGCGGAAACATGGAGAACAACCAAGGCAATTACTAATAAATTACAGACATTCATTAACTGGTGCCTGCGCAGAATAGAGGGAATAAAATGGTATGATAGAATAACTAATGTAGAACTTTTGGAGAGAACTAAACAGGCTCCAGTGAATCATGAGGTGAGGAAAAGACGCTGGCGTTGGATAGGGCACACACTGAGAAAACAGGAGAACAGCATAACTAGAATGTCTTTGCATTGGAACCCACAGGGGCTTAAGAATAAAGGAAGGCCAAAAAACACATGGAGAAGAGAGCTGGAGAATGAGGTTTGAAAGATTGGGAGGGCATGGGGAGAGCTCCATGCAATGGCCAAGGATAGAACGACTTGGCGTGAGTTGGTTGAGGGCCTATGCTCCATTGGGGGATAGAAAGGCAGAAGAAGAAAGAAGAATCAGTAAGGCTGAGAGGTCTGCCTTGTAGTTGGAGCAGTTTCGACTAGTGGTAGCTTCCAGGGTTGCATACTGTCCTGCTATCAGTAGGGCTGAGAGGTCTGCCTTGTAGTTGGAGCAGTTTCGTCTAGTGGGGGCTTCCAGGTTCACATTAGTAATTAATGTAAACATCTGCTTCACCAATAATTTTTGCCTCCTTTGCTGATCCATCTGTGTAAATTCTTGTCTGGCAGTCCTGTGAGAACATGTTGAGGTGTTCCATTGTGATTGCCTTCTTGACTAAATTGGGCTCAGCATTTATGTTCCTGAAGTTTGGGATGGTAGTTGAAACATTTAGTGACACTGATTGTGAGTCTCAGAGATCAGAGAGTAAATCTTCTGGTGTGCAGTGCTGGTTTATTAATGAAGCGTATAATTTCCTTTCTTTTGTTAAGTTGTTTAGGTAGGATCACTTTAATCTGGTTGTTGTCCTGTCAATGCCAGGTTATCATGAAAATTAAGAATTAACGGCTTTAAAACTTTTGCCATTTGGTATTAAAAGTTAGTACCCATCTTTCTGTATCACAAGATAAATGACGAAACCCCAGTTTTCTCATATTTGTATAACAATTATAAATGTTTTTCAAACAGTTATAAATATATTTATTTCAGTTGGTGGATTTCTTGCTGCAGTATCCGAAATGTGATGAAGATGTGGCAGAAAGAGCATTTTTGGTGTATCTAGATTTGACAGAAGGTATGAAGAAATTAAACTGCTTTGCATAGGACATGAATTCACAGAAGCCAACCTCTAGAACAGTCTTTAGTTTAGGTTCCATCAAATATTTATAAAAAATGTACAAAGTGAATATCTTTAGCATATTACTGAGAGAAGTGCAAGAAGGAGCCTGTAACATTGATTTTAATGTCTGTATTGACCAGACCTTGGTCAGAAATGTTTTATGGTCAAGTCAGTAAAGCACCATTTTTACACCAGTGGCAAATCAGGCTTACAATGCTAGAGTAATATTTCTATAGACCAGTTAGAACTCAGACAATTGGAGATATGGTCAGCCTCACACTAGGCCACATTGACTTCCCAAGACATTACCTGGTGCCCATTTTAGCCTGGGTCTACCTGGAAGCCAAGTTCAGTTTAAAAAAAAGTCCAACTTGATGTCGATTTGAACCCTAAGATCTTCAGGTCGGCAGGTGAGTATCTAGCCACTATACTATCACAGCTCTTTTAAAAATCCTTAAGGTCTGTGGTGACAAGTTGGTGATAACACTCTCCTTAACCACGTAATAATACCTGAAGAAACAGTCTACACACATTATTAACGTTTAATCCATTCTTGTTCTTTTGGCACATTTAATCATCATTACCAGATAAGAAGTCCTTGGCAGACTAACATTTTCATCGCAGCCTTTTTCTTCGTCACAGCCTACTGGATAGACTTATTCTTAATCAATTTCCCACTCTCATGCATTTATGTGTCCTGGGTACCACTGTTGTTTAGTGTTGTCAAATTATTTTAGTTTTTGGAGACGTTTCCCAATTTCTTTATGTTCAGATCATGTAGAATATCAGTGTTTTTTCTGTTTGATCCATAGCTTTCTGAGAATTTGTGTGGGAATTTAAGTTGCAGTTTAATTAAAGTTGTCTTTAAAAAAAATGTAAAGTTTTTTTGTTTTTGTTTTTTGTTGGTAGGTCGATAATTGACATAGATATATTAGCACAGGAAAAAGACATGTTCTTAAAATGTAACCTTTATTTTGTTGCTTTTGTTATGCCGTAGGTTCTTTATAGTATTTCACCTCTGCATTGCTGTAGATCAGGCCTGCTGTAGATAGTTTCCTTATGACTTATTTTAAACAGTTGCATTATTGTTCTGAATATTCATTGTTGAGCCGAAATATTCAAAGTTTGTGGCCGTAAAGCCCTGGCCTTAGAGGTCAGAAAAAACCCAGTTTACATAAATAATGGGTGCGAGGCAGATCTGAGATATCATGGCTCTAGACGGGAAACCTCTCACTGAAATTGGGTGTGACTATATAGATAAGAGCATGTCCACAAATTGATAGTGGGTGTGAAGTCAGCGATGAAAACATGAGACTTGTTTGAGAAAGTGAGTGATAATGATGAAATACTCGAACTGGAAAGAAGGTCATCCTGTGTGTGATGTTTGCATGGGACCCAAGTGGTGAATCTCTCTCTCTCCCTCCCTCCCTCCCTCTCTCTCTCTCTCTCTCTCCTCTAACTCTTTCTAGCCTCTCTACATCCTCTTGTAACATGTGAGGCGCCTTTCGCACTTTCTGTAATATCTTAACTGCTGCTTGCTTTGCTCTCCATGCCTGTTGTACTTCTTGTGTCCACCTTGGAGGCTGCACAAAAGCAGAGGTGGTGGTTCTGCTGCATAGCTTCTGTAGAAGGCGTCCATAAAAGTCTTGCGCTTTCTCACAGCCCTGATCTTGCTAGCTTTAGAAATCAAGACTGAGCATGGCATATGGTCTTTCAAATATATATATATATATATGAGTAACTGAGTCTAGTCAGTGATTGTAGTATGAAAGTTACTGATTTTGGCAATGTAAACCTGGCCATACATGATTCTTTACTGTCAGTGACTGCTGCATGAAAGTTGTGCTGAGTTAAGGATGAGTGTTTTTCTAGGACAGTTGACTGTCATTAGAGTGCACCCTAGTTGGTTACTGTGTTGAGACATGAATGCCTGAAAGTCAACCCTAGATAACTGTTCTAGATGGCTGACTGACAAGCAGTGTACCCAGTGTAACGGCAAGTAAAGCAGATTGGCAGAAAGAATCTGTATTGATTGTCCATCATGAAGTCCTGTTTGTTTTCATCAGCTTTGTCTTGGCCCAGTGGGACAGAACAGCTTCCATTTCAGTGTGGTTTCACTTGAACACCCTAGGAAACAACATCACAGTCTTCATTCTTGGTACTTACTGTTTCGAGGCGTGAATGATATAATCTGTATAGCAGCGTATTACCCACAGGTTTAAAATGTGTGTTGAATATGTTGATATTTCTCATCCTGTATGTGCTCATAATTTCAACAGCCTTGTAACTCATTTATCGCTTGTTCTCTCAGTGAAAGGCTGGTGGTCGACAGAAATGACATACAGTCCACAGCTGGACCGACCGTACATTCTTGGACAGCACAAACGATTTGTTCAGCGACAAGCCGTGCTTCCTGTGGGTGTTGAGGAATGTGTCTCATCACAGCAAATGCGTCAGTTCTTCTCTCATGTGCTTGTTGATGAAGAGCCTATTAAGAGGTCTGATTTGTTATATTTTTGTATAATACAATAAATGATATTTATTTTGAGGGTATTATTAGGGTGAAGGATATAAAACATATATTGCAAAAAGCAAAGGACACTGCGCCGGGGCCAGATGAAGTCAGGTCTGCCTACATGAAGAGTATAAATGATGAAGACTTGCGGGAGATGGCTTTTAACTTCAAACAGAGCATCAGGACAGCTTCAGTACCCCAGGATTCGGTACACGGCTACCTAATTCCACTTCCAAAACCAGGCAAAGATCATTCCAGACTCGGCAGTTTCAGGATTATCACCCCACAAAATCCTTTTGACAAGGTGCTAGAGAAGATTATTGCTGTTATACTACAAAAGTTTTTGGCGAGGGGAGAGCTCCTGCCAAAAGGTTTGGGCACAGAAAGATATCTGGTACAGTGCAGCTACTTTTGCTTTTGATATTTATGAGAGGTTCCAGAACAGACAGGGGACGATTGTGGCAGCACTTGATCTTAAGGATGCCTACAATAGTCAAATATGATATTTTGATTTCTGCACTCATGGAGAAGGGGGTTTGTCCGTGGTTTGTGGACTGGATAGCAGCTGTCCTGCATTCACGTATGGTTGCCCTTCGCCTAAGTACATGGGCCTCAAAACAATGTAATATCGCCTCGGGACTACCCCAGGGTTCTGCAATTTCACCAGTGCTCTTTAATGTGTATACAAGCAAGATTGCAGAACTTGAATCACCAGGTGTTGGAGGAATATTGACATTTGCCGATGATGTTCTTGCATATAGGCAGGGGAGAGATAGGCAACGGATAGCCCAAGAGCTGCAGGCAACTGTAAATAAAGTGACTGACTTGTGTGCAGAAATGGGTGCTGTCATCAACTCAGAAAAGGCAGCTGTTTTGTAAAAGCTAACGTTCCAAACCTCACAGTTAATAACAGTAACATCAAAAGAGAAAGCAAATTAGGTACCTGGGTGTCATTTTCGATAGAATTCTGTCTTTCAGGGAACATGTGGAGGCAGGGTGACATGCCAAAAAGGACTCAATGCTCTCGAGATTATGGCAGCAATGGACATGGAACAAAGAATGTTGTTCACAATGTTCTAGCATGTGATCCTGTCGGTGATAGATTATAGACTTGGAATGCTTACCATATCAAAGAGTCAGCTGATGAAACTTGAACACATACAGATTGAAGCCATGCGGGTAATTCTGGGATGTACACGGGATACCCCGGTAGTATGTATGCAATATATATTTGCACTACCTACTACTGCAGATAGGCTCAAAGTTCTGCAAGCAAAGTCATATCTCAGTAGCTGCGGACAAGAGGCACTTCCTGCATGAAGCCCTGGATAGAGCTAAGGGGTCACAAACTGAAAAGAGGGAAGTCTTGGATGGCGCAAGCTGAAGACACAATTGGACATGTGTGCAGGCTTGATATATTTAGACGAGAGGAATGGGTCAGAGTGTCCGATCAGGTTTCAAACTGATGTAGGGCTCTAATTACTTTAGGTCGTGAGTGCAGGGACTGACCAGCTAGTGCTGCAGAATCAGAACTTTGGTAAATGATTCATGAAGGTTCCCAAGCAGGTGATGTGATTGTCTATACAGACGGCTGTGTGTTGAGGGGCAGATGAAGTGTATGGGGGTAATAGCGGGACGTCGCTTGGTGCAACAAAGCCTGGCATATAATATCACAACGTCAAGTTTGAGAATGGAGGTGGAGGCAGTCACTGCTGCCTTCTGCTGGCTTGAGAATCAGCTGTACAAAGCATGCTGACAAAGGTGGAGACAGGCATGCTCTGTGCAAAGTGGCAAGCATCACTTCAAAGATCCTGGGTAGTTAGCATCCTTTGGATATTTTCTCCACGTCATGCCGGTGTGCTGGGAAATGAGCAGGCAAATAGACTGGCTGGTTCTGCAGCACTTGGTGGTGAAATGATGTATGGCAAGCTGGATGTTGTGAGGGCCCTTTGGGAGAAAGTGAACATTGCAGAGGAACAGATAGATCATTACGGTCTGAGGAGATGGCACTGCGAGGAGTTACAAGGGGATCTGGTCGATGCTTGACATTCAGGGAAAAGGTGAAACGGATATACAGACAGTTACTGTTACTATCAGAATTTTTAACTCTTCGCTTGCTGCTGAATATGTGGGCGGAGCGCTCATGAGTGCTTATCCTGAATGCTGTGATGTTGATTCTTAATTTAACATGGATCACTTCAGTATTTTTCTCCCGGCCAATCCATCTGGCCAGGCCCTCCAGGTATTTACCTGTTTGCTTTTCTCTTGCTCTCTTTCCATCAGTACTGCCAGTTGTTAGCAAGTTCTCGAGTCCATTGCTTCTCATATGTCCAAAACATATTAACATGTCTAACTTTTCTAATAACTTAATGACTTTCATTTATCTTAATGAGGACTGCTTTGTTTGTTTTTCTATAAAAAAGTAAAAAGTAAAGCACCCTCTTCCACACGCTTTTGGGCGTATAGGGCATATAGGGCTAGACCTATATTTTATAGACCAATCGGCACAAGATGGGTGATGTGGTCAGTGTCACTCCGGCCGCCTCTACTTCCCGGAACTGCACCCGGTACCCACTCAAGGCTGGGTCGACCTGGGAGCCAAGGTCATTTTTTTTTAAAATCTGGCTCCGCCAGGGAGCAAACCCATGACCTTTCGATCTGCCGCGTACATCTAGCTGCTCCGCCTACGACTCCCTTGTTTTTCAATTCCTCCATGATATTCTTTGTTTTTCTTCTCAGAAACCTCATCTTTGTTTTTCTTCTCAGAAACCTCATCTTTGTTTTTCTTCTCAGAAACCTCATCTTTGTTTTTCTTCTCAGAAACCTCATCTTTGTGACCAGTAAATGTTTTTCTTCTCAGAAACCTCATCTTTGTGACCAGTAAATGTTTTTCTTCTCAGAAACCTCATCTTTGTGACCAGTAAATGTTTTTCTTCTCAGAAACCTCATCTTTGTGACCAGTAAATGTTTTTCTTCTCAGAAACCTCATCTTTGTGACCAGTAAATGTTTTTCTTCTCAGAAACCTCATCTTTGTGACCAGTAAATGTTTTTCTTCTCAGAAACCTCATCTTTGTGACCAGTAAATGTTTTTCCACTAGTTTGCTTCCTGTCAATGTTTCTCACGCGTATAACAACATAGGTTCTAAATAACATTGTAACACTGTTTTCTCACGCGTATAACAACATAGGTTCTAAATAACATTGTAACACTGTTTTCTCACGCGTATAACAACATAGGTTCTAAATAAAACTGTAATACTCTTTTCTCACTGCAAGTAACATTTTCTGATTCCTACCTTTGCCATCACAGTTCTTGTTCTCTGTGGTGACCATTGTTTTCATTTTCTTACAATTTAGGTCTTCGCCTAGTTTCTTACTGTGAACTATTATTGCTTCCATTAAAGGCTGCAGATTTCTTCATTGTCTGCAGTTAACACTGCATCATAGTTAACACTGCATCATAGTTAACACTGCATCATCTGCATATCAAATATTATTCATGCCTCAAACGTTACTCCCCTTCACCTCTTTCAGATGTCGCGTTATTTTTTTTCTTCACTATATTAGGAAACAATATCTGGAGGCATTATACATCCCTGTCGCATACCTCTTGATTGGTTGGTACAGGTCTACTTTATTATCAATTCTTATAGCAGCATGTTGTTTCCAGTTTATGGTTCTAATCAATCTAAGAACGGTCCTATCATTTGTTGATTTGTAAGCATTTTTATCGTGTCAATGTGTCCTACTCTATCAAAAGTCTTTGTGGAATCAATAAGCAGAGATGAAGATCTTTATTTACTTCTGTTGAACACACTCATATTGTTCTCAAGGGATAAACTGCATTTGTTGTACTCTTGCCTTCTACGAACCTACATTGCTGTTCACTTGTTTCTGGTATTAACTTAATATGGACAGCATAAAGACTTTCCTCAGGAGGGATAACTAACCGATACATTAGCTGTTCACTTGTTTCTGGTATCAACCTAATATGGACAGCATAAAGACTTTCCTCAGGAGGGATAACTAACCGATACATTAGCTGTTCACTTGTTTCTGGTATCAACCTAATATGGACAGCATAAAGACTTTCCTCAGGAGGGATAACTAACCGATACATTAGCTGTTCACTTGTTTCTGGTATCAACTTAATATGGACAGCATAAAGACTTTCCTCAGGAGGGATAACTAACCGATACATTAGCTGTTCACTTGTTTCTGGTATCAACCTAATATGGACAGCATAAAGACTTTCCTCAGGAGGGATAACTAACCGATACATTAGCTGTTCACTTGTTTCTGGTATCAACTTAATATGGACAGCATAAAGACTTTCCTCAGGAGGGATAACTAACCGATACATTAGCTGTTCACTTGTTTCTGGTATTAACCTAATATGGACAGCATAAAGACTTTCCTCAGGAGGGATAACTAACCGATACATTTGCTGTTCACTTGTTTCTGGTATTAACCTAATATGGACAGCATAAAGACTTTCCTCAGGAGGGATAACTAACCGATACATTAGCTGTTCACTTGTTTCTGGTATCAACTTAATATGGACAGCATAAAGACTTTCCTCAGGAGGGATAACTAACCGATACATTAGCTGTTCACTTGTTTCTGGTATTAACCTAATATGGACAGCATAAAGACTTTCCTCAGGAGGGATAACTAACCGATACATTTGCTGTTCACTTGTTTCTGGTATTAACCTAATATGGACAGCATAAAGACTTTCCTCAGGAGGGATAACTAACCGATACATTAGCTGTTCACTTGTTTCTGGTATGAACTTAATATGGACAGCATAAAGACTTTCCTCAGGAGGGATAACTAACCGATACATTAGCTGTTCACTTGTTTCTGGTATTAACTTAATATGGACAGCATACTCTCCTCAAGGGGTACAACTGACCGATACATCTGAAATAAAAACATTAGTCATGTCTTTGTGTAACTCTTATTGTAGCAACTACCACTAGAAATGGGATTCAATGGATTGTAACAGAGCAGCCATGCAGTCTTATCTTTTGATATAACTCACATTGAATGATAATACCTTTTCATAGGGTAAAGGAAATAGAGGCATACAGTGAAATCACAGTGTGAAATCAGAAACACATGAAAAATGTAGTGAGGGCATGGCACAAGCTTTAGGTTAAGGTTAAAGATTAGAGGGCTTGATGTGTTGCCATGGAGATGTTGGAGATGTTGCCTTGGAGACAGAGTCACTGTGACTAGATGGTGCCTTGGAGACAGAGTCACAGTGACTAGGTGTTGCCTTGTAGATAGAGTCACAGTGACTAGATTTTGCCTTGGAGACAGAGTCACAGTGACTAGGTGTTGCCTTGGATATAGAGTCACAGTGACTAGGTGTTGCCTTGGAGACAGAGTCACAGTGACTAGGTGTTGCCTTGGAGATAGAGTCACAGTGACTAGGTGTTGCCTTGGAGATAGAGTCACAGTGACTAGGTGTTGCCTTGGAGACAGAGTCACTGTGACTAGGTGTTGCCTTGGATATAGAGTCACAGTGACTAGGTGTTGCCTTGGAGATAGAGTCACAGTGACTAGGTGTTGCCTTTTGTACTTTCATGTCATAGCTTTTAATGTCTACTTTTATGTGTAAGGGTTTGTATTTTGTACTTTCATGTCATAGCTTTCATTGTCTACTTTTATGTGTAAGGGTTCATATTTTGTACTTTCATGTCATAGCTTTCATTGTCTACTTTTATGTGTAAGGGTTTGTATTTTGTACTTTCATGTCATAGCTTTCATTGTCTACTTTTATGTGTAAGGGTTCATATTTTGTACTTTCATGTCATAGCTTTCATTGTCTACTTTTATGTGTAAGGGTTTGTATTTTGTACTTTCATGTCATAGCTTTCATTGTCTACTTTTATGTGTAAGGGTTCATATTTTGTACTTTCATGTCATAGCTTTCATTGTCTACTTTTATGTGTAAGGATTTGTATTTTGTACTTTCATGTCATAGCTTTCATTGTCTACTTTTATGTGTAAGGGTTCATATTTTTTGTTCAAGGTTATCATTTCTATACTTTAGTTTTCATATGCTGTAGGTCATGAACCTTGTAAACTGCTGTATAAATCAATGTTTCTATCTCAGACATTATATTTCACAAACTGATATTTTTATCTGCTTTTGTTTGTTTTTTGGCTCCAGTATAACATTGGCAGTGAGTGAACTGGACAGTACTGTGGTCTATTACAAGCTGTCATCCGGCCTGCTACCACCGGAGTCCCCAGACATGGTCGTCACACATCAGCGAGACAAGGATGCCAGAATTTTGCAGAAAAAACAGTTTATTGCAGAGTGTGTCAAAAAAGCCATGCAGAGGCATGACAGCAACTAGAACCGGACATGAAGACAACTAGAACCGGACATGAAGACAACTAGAACTGGGCATGAAGACAACTAGAACTGGGCATGAAGGCAACTAGAACGGGGCATGAAGGCAACTAGAACCGGGCATGAAAGCAACTAGAACTGGGCATGAAGGCAACTAGAACTGTTCATGAAGACAACTAGTGCTGGACATGAAGGCAACTAGTACTGGGCATGAAGGCAACTAGTACTGGGCATGAAGGCAATTAGTACTGGGCATGAAGGCAACTAGAACTGGGCATGAAGGCAACTAGAACTGGGCATGAAGACAACTAGAACTGGGCATGAAGGCAACTAGAACTGGGCATGAAGACAACTAGAACCGGGCATGAAGACAACTAGAACTGGGCATGAAGGCAACTAGAACTGGGCATGAAGACAACTAGAACTGGGCATGAAGGCAACTAGAACGGGGCATGAAGGCAACTAGAACGGGGCATGAAGGCAGCTAGAACTGGGCATGAAGACAACTAGAACTGGGCATGAAGGCAACTAGAACTGGGCATGAAGGCAGCTAGAACCGGGCATGAAGACAACTAGAACTGGGCATGAAGGCAACTAGTACTGGGCATGAAGACAACTAGTACTGGGCATGAAGACAACTAGTACTGGGCATGAAGACAACTAGAACTGGGCATGAAGACAACTAGAACTGGGCATGAAGACAACTAGAACTGGGCATGAAGGCAACTAGTACTGGGCATGAAGACAACTAGTACTGGGCATGAAGACAACTAGTACTGGGCATGAAGACAACTAGTACTGGGCATGAAGACAACTAGTACTGGGCATGAAGACAACTAGTACTGGGCATGAAGACAACTAGTACTGGGCATGAAGACAACTTGTACTGGGCATGAAGACAACTAGTACTGGGCATGAATCCAAGAACAAATGATTGAACTTGAACAGGCAATGCTCACCTACTGTAGTGGATCTGTATATAATATCTGTGTTAGCAATCACCATAGTAACATTCAAGTAATTTGCAGATTCTCACGTCAGATCAAGCAAATCATGATTAAGATGAAGAGTGATAAAGGCTTAGTACCGTTTACACTGCATAATTGTCTAGTGCAGAAACATGATCAACAATGTTAGGCTAAATACTGAAGCTTTACAAATGTGCTTAAATATGAATAGAAAGAAAGAAAGTAGCGTTACAAAAACTGGGAATAAAACTAAATATTAGTGAATAAGATCAAGAGACAAACTAAAAAAACACCTGTATGAGTGTACTTGAAGGTACAACTCACTATTCACACCCCATCTTGTTTGCCTGCGTGATTTCATATTAATTTCCACGGGTCGTCCTATGTTTTAGGGGTGTCAGTTGTTGCTTGTTTTGAACGTTGCACATCCACCACTGACGAAAGCCACCTCCAACAAGCATAAAAAATACAGAAACATGTGTGATTCGATACTGATGAACCGTCGCGCCTTCAGCACTTCCTCCTGCAATACTTCTTCCTTGTACACCGGTGCCGTGGCAACAACAACATCCCACAAACAATAATCGTTCACAGAAGAGACTGTTGTGACAAGAAAGCTGCCCATTTTAATCTGAGACATAGTGAGTCGACAGCGTCAAACAAACTCGAGACAGTTTTCGTCACGATGTATACAGATGTTGAAGGAGGGTATTTCATAACACCCCTTGAACATCGGACAGCCCGACAGAGGAAGACAGCGTGAGAAGATTCTTGGCAATCTTTTGACATGGCATGGAGGGGTGTCAGCACACAAACTGATACACGTAGTGGCGGATCGCACATTGTGGAGATGCATGATCGCCCACGCCAGTCAGCAAGGCACTTGATGATGATGAAGTTGAAATAGCATACCATGCTTTAGCCTTAAAGTCGTTTATACATATCATCTTCACGTGAATCCGGTTAGAAATCCCAAATCCAATTTCACCAAACTTTTGCTGTCTGAGGCTTCTGTTTGAGATGGGTGCCTAGTTATGGTTGAAACAATACATGAGCAAAGCACAGAAAAAAACAAGCTCTACATGTGTACTCTAGAAGCACATCGTTCTTCAAGCAGTCAGTAAACCTGCTATATGACATCTGTCAGCAAACTCAGACACCACAAAAACAGTAATCATCTTATTGTGGGTGCATTTATAAAATCTGTGCAGTCAGCTTTTAATGGAATACATCATCCCTCATTGTGTTTGCTACCTATCTTGGTTTCTCATGCTACCTGTCTTGATATCTCATGCTACCTGTCTTGATATCTCATGCTACCTGACTTGATATCTCTTGCTACCTGTCTTGATATCTCATGCTACCTGTCTTGGTTTCTCATGCTACCTGTCTTGATATCTCATGCTACCTGTCTTGATATCTCATGCTACCTGTCTTGGTTTCTCATGCTACCTGTCTTGATATCTCATGCTACCTGTCTTGATATCTCATGCTACCTGTCTTGATATCTCATGCTACCTGTCTTGATATCTCATGCTACCTGTCTTGGTTTCTCATGCTACCTGTCTTGATATCTCATGCTACCTGTCTTGATATCTCATGCTACCTGTCTTGATATCTCATGCTACCTGTCTTGATATCTCATGCTACCTGTCTTGATATCTCATGCTACCTGTCTTGGTTTCTCATGCTACCTGTCTTGGTTTCTCATGCTAGCTGTCTTGATATCTCATGCTACCTGTCTTGATATCTCATGCTACCTGTCTTGATATCTCATGCTACCTGTCTTGGTATCTCATGCTACCTGTCTTGATATCTCATGCTACCTGTCTTGATATCTCATGCTACCTGTCTTGGTTTCTCATGCTAGCTGTCTTGATATGTCATGCTACCTGTCTTGATATCTCATGCTACCTGTCTTGGTTTCTCATGCTACCTGTCTTGATATCTCATGCTACCTGTCTTGATATCTCATGCTACCTGTCTTGATATCTCATGCTACCTGTCTTGATATCTCATGCTACCTGTCTTGATATCTCATGCTACCTGTCCTGGTTTCTCATGCTAGCTGTCTTGATATCTCATGCTAGCTGTCTTGATATCTCATGCTAGCTGTCTTGGTATCTCATGCTAGCTGTCTTGATATCTCATGCTAGCTGTCTTGATATCTCATGCTAGCTATCTTGGTTTCTCATGCTACCTGTCTTGATATCTCATGCTACCTGTCTTGGTTTCTCATGCTACCTGTCTTGGTTTCTCATGCTAGCTGTCTTGATATCTCATGCTAGCTGTCTTGGTTTCTCATGCTACCTGTCTTGATATCTCATGCTACCTGTCTTGGTTTCTCATGCTACCTGTCTTGGTTTCTCATGCTACCTGTCTTGGTTTCTCATGCTACCTGTCTTGATATCTCATGCTGTCTTGATATCTCATGCTAGCTGTCTTGATATCTCATGCTAGCTGTCTTGGTATCTCATGCTAGCTGTCTTGATATCTCATGCTAGCTGTCTTGATATCTCATGCTACCTGTCTTGGTTTCTCATGCTACCTGTCTTGATATCTCATGCTAGCTGTCTTGGTTTCTCATGCTACCTGTCTTGATATCTCATGCTACCTGTCTTGGTTTCTCATGCTGTCTTGATATCTCATGCTACCTGTCTTGGTTTCTCATGCTGTCTTGATATCTCATGCTACCTGTCTTGATATCTCATGCTACCTGTCTTGGTATCTCATGCTACCTGTCTTGATATCTCATGCTACCTGTCTTGATATCTCATGCTACCTGTCTTGATATCTCATGCTACCTGTCTTGGTTTCTCATGCTGTCTTGATATCTCATGCTACCTGTCTTGATATCTCATGCTACCTGTCTTGATATCTCATGTTACCTGTCTTGGTTTCTCATGCTACCTGACTTGATATCTCATGCTACCTGTCTTGATATCTCATGCTACCTGTCTTGATATCTCATGCTACCTGTCTTGATATCTCATGCTACCTGTCTTGATATCTCATGCTAGCTGTCTTGATATCTCATGCTACCTGTCTTGATATCTCATGCTACCTGTCTTGGTATCTCATGCTACCTGTCTTGATATCTCATGCTAGCTGTCTTGATATCTCATGCTACCTGTCTTGATATCTCATGCTAGCTGTCTTGATATCTCATGCTACCTGTCTTGATATCTCATGCTACCTGTCTTGGTTTCTCATGCTACCTGTCTTGATATCTCATGCTACCTGTTTTGGTTTCTCATGCTACCTGTCTTGATATCTCATGCTACCTGTTTTGGTTTCTCATGCTACCTGTCTTGATATCTCATGCTACCTGTTTTGGTTTCTCATGCTACCTGTCTTGATATCTCATGCTACCTGTTTTGGTTTCTCATGCTACCTGTTTTGGTTTCTCATGCATGTGTATGTGTGTGTGTTTTCTGTTTGTGCATTTATGTCTATGTATGTTTATGTGTTTAATGTTTGTGTATGTATGTAGATGCATGTGTGTATGAATGCATGTATGAGAACGTAGGAGTATGTATACGTGTGTGTGAGTTTGTACGATTGTGTACACATGATGTATGTATGCATTATTCTATAATTTATATTTTTTTAATTAAATCTCTATCATGCATTATTGATAACAGGCATTGGTACTCTGAAAAATGAGTGCTTAGAAGGGTCGAATGTGAGACTGGCCTGCGTGCCCAATTTGTAACCCTTTGAAAATAAAATTTGTTTGTTTATGCTACCTGTCTTGGCTTCTCATTATTGTTACTAATAAATTGCTACGTAATATTCAACATTTGACACACCATCATCTTTGTTATTTGTTCTATAAACGAACCAGTATAGAGAGAGAAAAAAAACATGCTGGCACACACACACTTTTCATTTTGGGAAATTGGCTGTTTCTAGTTTGTTAGGGATTCCAAAACTATGCGCCCCGGGAAGTGGCAACTTCTTCACAGGGGCGCCACGAAATATTCGAAGATACACAATTTAAAATTAAAAAAAAATCTTTTAGGTAGGAACGGTC